CGGCCGTGGGAAACAGCCCCCCCCTACACCCCCCTCCACCCCCCTCGCCCCCCCCTCCATCTCCCCCATCCTCGCCCCCCCTCCACCTCCCCCCCTCCCCACCCCATTCTCGCCCCCTCCCACCTCCACCCACTCCCTCCCTCGGAGCTCCTCTCCTCTGCTCGCTCAGTGAGAGTGGGACGTGCCCTTGTAGTTCACACGCACGCACGCTCCTGTGTGCACACGTGCGTGTGTAGACGTGCCCGCGTGTACTACAAGGGCACATACACGTGCATGTGTAGACTCCTTTGCGTATATCAGCACACGTGCCTGTGTGCGTGTGGGAGGGGTAGCGCAGAGGTTACCGCGCCGCGCTACGAACCCGTCGACTCGAGTTCGATTCCCGCTCGCGACAATAAACAGCGGCGAATATCCGAACCGATCCTGGGCCTCCCCCTACGTCGACTCGGCCTAAAATGAGCACCCGGTGAACATCAGCACCGGGGAGACAAAGGCGATGTGAGCACGTGCCGCCTGCGCACGACTCCCCCCCTCCCACCTGCGCTCCTCCCCGTGGGAGCAGCGCTGGGGGGGGGGGGTCAGCTGGAAACACGCAGCGAGCGGCGGTCCCTGGCTCGCGTCTGACGTTCCGTGCTTTACCGCCCCAGCCTGCCCCTCCCCGCGCTCCCCCAAGTCGGCGTGCACTCGCACCCAGTCCCCACTGCAGCCACGCTCATTAACGTGCACGCACGCACACGTGCACGCACACACACACACGCACACACACACGCACGCACACACGTGAACGCACGCAAGCGCAAGCTCACGCATACAGAATAAAGGCAAAAGTCCACCGTGTAACCTCTGGCAGGCTGTTAGGGCAGGGGTTGTGAGAGCGAGTGAAGGGCGCTGTGGTGCGCAACGGGACCCGCGCTCGTTGAAGTCGGGGGGGGGGTGGGGGGGCGGGACCGGTTCGGATCCCGCGTGCTACTCATGATGATGGCCGCATGCCCGGAATCAAATGCAGGTCGCCGGGTTTTTAGCGCAATGCGCTAACCACCGCCTTGCCGCTAGTCGTGCAAAGACGAAGACCCCCCGTATAGCCTTCACGTACTGTTGGTGCAAGTAGTGTTGGTGAGCACCTATGAAGGCCGACACAAGCGGGTGGGTGGCCGGCACCACACCCGGGTACTCATTTGAGGCTGAGTCGACCTCGGGGAGGCCCAGGACCGGTTCAGATAATCGTCACTGGTGTTGCCCGTGAACAGGAATCAAACTCGGGCTCACACACGTACACTCAAACACACAGAAACACGAATACAGCCAAACATTTTAAAACAAAGATCCCCCGTGTAGTTCGAAACAGGCTGTTGGGGCAGGTGCAGTTAGCGAGTACCACCTATGGAGGCCGGCACTGCGGCACACGAGGGGATGGGTGATCAGCACTACATCCACCCGCAGTGCTGATATTACCACATCGTACCAAGTACAAACTCACACACACCTCACTTCAAAGAACACCGCTGTGTTTCTGTTGCTAATGATGATGATTACACTGGGTGCTGGGGAGAGCTCGTAGGTCCTCCAAACCTCCGGAGGACGTGGAAAGAGGTGGCGATGAGGTGTGGATGATATACAGAGTTGATCCTGGCCGGGAATTGAACCAGAGCGCCTTGAGGTGGCGTGCGATGGCGCCGCCGCCGCCTCCTCCTCCTCGGAGCGAGCTCGGGGAGCGAGGTGATGTTACGGGGAAACATGCCGCGGAATTTTTGGAATTTGCGAGATACGCGGCGTCGAGTGCCGGGCAGCAGCGGTGATGGGGCAGACGCGGCCCCCGGGGAGGGGGGGAGGGGCACGCGAGAGTGGCCGAGTGTCCCGTCGTGCGTGCCCGACCCCGCGTGTCTGACCTCTGCGTGTGTGACCCCGCGTGTCTGCCCTCTGCGTGTGTGACCCCGCGTGTCTGCCCTCTGCGTGTGTGACCCCGCGTGTCTGCCCTCTGCGTATGTGACCCCGCGTGTCTGCCCTCTGCGTGTGTGACCCCGCGTGTCTGCCCTCTGCGTGTGTGACCCCGCGTGACTGCCCTCTGCGTGTGTGACCTTGCGCGTCTGCCCTCTGCGTGTGTGACCCCGCGTGTCTGCCCTCTGAGTGTGTGACCCCGCGTGTCTGCCCTCTGCGTGTGTGACCTTGCGTGTGTGCCCTCTGCGTGTGTGACCCCACGTGTCTGACCCTGGAATGGTCGCGGTGAGTGCACTGCGCTAAGGACCCGGCGAGTTCGATCCCCGCTTACGACCAATTCCAGTGGCGAATATTCAAACCAAGATAGATTCAACCCTAAATGAGTATCTGGTGTGGTGTGTAAACCGCACTGAGGAGACAAAGGCCGCCAGGAGTGGTGCTGGCCACCCACCCCCTCGTGTGCCGTGCCGGCCTCCATACGTGCTACTCGCTAACAGCACTTGCTCCAGCAATCTGTTAAAAGCTATACGCGATCTCACCCAAAAACCTCTTATGGATGATATTGGTCGCGAAAGCCTCCGTGTTAAACTATACGGGGGATCTTTGTCTTTGACCCTGTGACCTGTATCTGACCCCTTGTCACTGACCCAGCGCGTACGACTCGGCGTGTCTGGCCCAACGTCCATATTTAACCTTTTTCTGATCCCTTATCCCCCTGTGATCTCTGCCCCCTCCCCCGTGCCCCCCCCCCCCGTGCAGGCAGTGTGTGCGCGAGTGGGAAGAGCCGCACGACAGCGCCCTCTACTGCCTGCAGGCCGACGGGAACCACATGGTGGCGAGCGGCTCGGCGCACTACGGAGTCGTGCGCCTCTGGGACAAGCGCCACCACCGCTGCCTGCAGGTGCCCGCGAGCTCCTGCCGAGACGCTCGCGGAGACGACGGTGTCTCCTCGCTCGTTTATCGGCGTCGTCATCGGCGGCAGCAGCGACGGCCGTGATGAGGTCCCCATCGAACGTGGGCATTCATTGCCCCAGCGGCCTTTACGTCCGCCAAAATAAATCGCACCACGCCAATGGTCAACGCGCCGCCGCCACCTGTCACGATCCTTCCGATGCAGCGATCTACCCGGCACCTGCTCCTTTACACACGAGCTGATTCCATCATCGCTCCATCTCCTTGATCGACGTCCTCTCTGGACGTGTTCTCTTCACAGGCTGCCACTGCGTTGTTGTTCTTGACGAATGGGCGTCGTCCCTTCTAGCTGAGTCTCATCCTGCCCAAGCCTGCTCGCTTCTCTTTAGAGTTTGGGTGATGTCACCATCTTGTGAATGAATGCGCTGTAGAAGCAATAGACAACGCCCCATGTCTCCGTGTCTCCATGTCCCCGTGTGTCTCCGCGTATCTCTGCGTGTCCCCATTCGTAGACCTTCAATCTGGCGTCTCCTGTGAGCAGCCCCGTGTACAGCCTCCGCTTCAGCACGCGCTGCCTGTACGTGGCCGTCGCCACGCAGGTGTGCGTGCTGGACTTCACCTGACAACACCTGCAGCACCTGGATACACCTGGACACGACACTGGGCCCCCACACCTGCATCTCAGTTGCCGAAGCTCCTCGGTGCCGATGCCTTAACACCGAGGAGTCGCGTGGAAATTCGTCTCGTCGCAAATTGGTGTCCCGGCGCCCCCTGCCGGCTCTCCTTTCTTTCCCTCTCCTCCCTGACTCCCTCCGCGCCTCTCCTTGCCTCTCACTCTCCCTGCCAGCTCTGACCTCCCTGTCCCCCCAGTCTCCTCCCTGGTCTGCTCTCCCTGCTCCCTCCTGTCTCCTTGCCTCTCATTCTGTCTCTTTCCCAGCCTCACCTCTATCAATCTCTGCTGGTTCTCACCTCGCTTGCTCACATGTCTCCCTGCCTGTCCCTGATCGCTCCCCCTGCTCTGTTCGTCTCGCCCTGCCTCTGCTTCCCCCCCCCCACCTCTCCTTGCTCCCCTCGCTTCGGTGGTGGTGGCAGGGGACATATTGGGGGTGTTATTTGATTCTCGGACGCCTTGGCGGGACGGTGTCTTCTGTCCGTGTTTGTCTTCCCGGTGTGTTCGTGTCTCCATGACCCCCTCATCTTTCTGTCTGTCTCCTTGCCTCTGTGTGTCTCCCAGTCTCTCCGTGTCTCCCCATATCTGCTGTCCCCCTGCTCCTGTCTCCCAGGGTGCGTGACCCCGCGTAGCGTCTTGACTGGAACTGCATGCATGGGGGGCCCGGTCACAGTAGGGGTCTGGGCATTGCGTGGGAATGAGTAAAGATGTTGAGAGTTCTACCCGCTCTGTGCCTGTCCTCGTGAGTCCAGGTGAGTGTTGCAGAGTGATGGCGAGTGCCTGGTATGGTGAGAGTGTGATGGTGAGTGTTATGGCGTTGGGTTTGTGTTGGTGCGTTTGGTGAGTGTTGGGGTATGTGTGATGGTGAGTTTTAGAGAGTGTTACGACTGTCTTGGGTGTTTGTGTGCTGGTGATAGTGCTGGTGAGTGTTTCAGAGTGCTGGTGAGTGTTAGTGTGTGTGTGCTGATGCGGTGGTGAGAGTGATGGTGTGAGTGTTGTTTTTGTAATGAGTTGATATGACGGTGAATTGGTGTGTGTACCGCTGTGTGAGTGGCGGTGAGTGCCTCTCGGGCAAACTGACACACGCAATGCACTACAACCCAAACAACACGAGTTAAATTCCTCACTCAATCGAACATCAGCAGTGACTTGTAAATCTCAATGTTAGAGGATATTGCCTCTCCTGTAGGTCGACTCAGCCTAAAGTTTTGACAACACATTTGGTACGTTGATACATATTCGTGAAAAATATTTTTCAGAAGCGACCTGGCCACAAATGATAGCCCAAAGAAGTGGCTTGTCACGTGGCAGTTTCTAGCAGCAGTCGAATACTAAATTCTAAATGTGGAGGACCCGGAGAAAATTCCACGCGACCACGGTTAGAGACACACAGGGAGTGGCTTGAGGACTTCAGCCAGCAGTGGCTTGATTAAGACTGAAGCTGCAACTAAATAATAACAATTACCGAAGGTGGGAATCGAACTCGAGTCCCCGTGCCCTGCGGGCGGCGCCGTTACCGCTCGATCACGCAGAAGCCCAAGAAACACGTGGCCGGGCGCGTGCGCGCGCGGGGCACTGTGGGTAAATCAGTGCGGCTCCTCTCGCGGGGCCGCGAACCGAAGCGACTGGAACCCGCGGAGGGGACCCGAAGGGACCCGAACGGGCCCAGGAGGACGAAGGGCATCGAGGTTCCCCGGCGGCGGTGCCGCGAGAAGAGGAAGAAGGTGGAGGAGGTAACGTGGAGCGGTGGCTGGAGGGGGGGGGGGGAGTGAGGCGGTGGGGCGATTGAGTTTGGGCAGTCACTGTAGTAGCGGGCAAGTAGCCACTCAGCCAGTTAGTCAGCCACTTAGTCACTTAGTCAGCCACTCAGTCAGCCACGCAGGCCAAGCAGGCGCTCGAGCAGCCATTGGGGCCGTGAGGCGGCCACTCCGCCTGCGCGCCTCTGCCCGCGCATTGCGCGCCCGCGGTTGCTATGGGAACGGCCGGGAGCCATCGCGGTCTACGGCCGTTGTCACTCCTCGTGTGTGTCACTCCACGTGTGTGTCACTCCACGTGTGTGTCACTCCTCGTGTGTGTCACTCCTCGTGTGTATCACTCCACGTGTGTGTCACTCCACGTGTGTGTCACTCTCCCTGGTGTGTCACTCCTCGTGTGTATCACTCCCTGTGGGTGTCACTCCGAGTGTGTGTCACTCCACGTGTGTGTCACTCCACGTGTGTGTCACTCCACGTGTGTGTCACTCCTCGTGTGTGTCACTCCACGTGTGTGTCACTCCTCGTGTGTGTCACTCGTGTGTGTCACTCCACGTGTGTGTCACTCCACGTGTGTCACTCCACGTGTGTGTCACTCCTCGTGTGTCACTCCACGTGTGCGTCACTCCACGTGTGTGTCACTCTCCCTGTGTGTGTCACTCTCCCTGTGTGTGTCACTCCTCGTGTGTGTCACTCCACGTGTGTGTCACTCGTGTGTGTCACTCCACGTGTGTGTCACTCCACGTGTGTGTCACTACTCGTGTGTGTCACTCCACGTGTGTGTCACTCCACGTGTGTGTCACTCCTCGTGTGTGTCACTCCACGTGTGTGTCACTCCCAGTGTGTGTCACTCCACGTGTGTGTCACTACTCGTGTGTGTCACTCCTCCTGTGTGTCACTCCACGTGTGTGTCACTCCACGTGTGCGTCACTCCACGTGTGTGTCACTCCACGTGTGTGTCACTCCTCGTGTGTCACTCGTGTGTGTCACTCCATGTGTGTGTCACTCCACGTGTGTGTCACTCCCTGTGTGTGTCACTCCACGTGTGTGTCACTCCACGTGTGTGTCACTCCACGTGTGTGTCACTCCTCGTGTGTGTCACTCCTCGTGTGTATCACTCCACGTGTGTGTCACTCCACGTGTGTGTCACTCTCCCTGGTGTGTCACTCCTCGTGTGTATCACTCCCTGTGGGTGTCACTCCGAGTGTGTGTCACTCCACGTGTGTGTCACTCCACGTGTGTGTCACTCCACGTGTGTGTCACTCCTCGTGTGTGTCACTCCACGTGTGTGTCACTCCTCGTGTGTGTCACTCGTGTGTGTCACTCCACGTGTGTGTCACTCCACGTGTGTCACTCCACGTGTGTGTCACTCCTCGTGTGTCACTCCACGTGTGCGTCACTCCACGTGTGTGTCACTCTCCCTGTGTGTGTCACTCTCCCTGTGTGTGTCACTCCTCGTGTGTGTCACTCCACGTGTGTGTCACTCGTGTGTGTCACTCCACGTGTGTGTCACTCCACGTGTGTGTCACTACTCGTGTGTGTCACTCCACGTGTGTGTCACTCCACGTGTGTGTCACTCCTCGTGTGTGTCACTCCACGTGTGTGTCACTCCCAGTGTGTGTCACTCCACGTGTGTGTCACTACTCGTGTGTGTCACTCCTCCTGTGTGTCACTCCACGTGTGTGTCACTCCACGTGTGCGTCACTCCACGTGTGTGTCACTCCACGTGTGTGTCACTCCTCGTGTGTCACTCGTGTGTGTCACTCCATGTGTGTGTCACTCCACGTGTGTGTCACTCCCTGTGTGTGTCACTCCACGTGTGTGTCACTCCACGTGTGTGTCACTCCACGTGTGTGTCACTCCTCGTGTGTGTCACTCCACGTGTGTGTCACTCCTCGTGTGTGTCACTCCCTGTGTGTGTCACTCCCAGTGTGTGTCACTCCCTGTGTGTGTCACTCCCAGTGTGTGTCACTCCTCGTGTGTCACTCCCAGTGTGTGTCACTCCCAGTGTGTGTCACTCCACGTGTGTGTCACTTCACGTGTGTGTCACTCCACGTGTGTGTCACTCGTGTGTGTCACTCCTCGTGTGTGTCACTCCTCGTGTGTGTCACTCCACGTGTGTCACTCCCAGTGTGTGTCACTCCTCGTGTGTGTCACTCGTGTGTGTCACTCCTCGTGTGTGTCACTCCCTGTGTGTGTCACTCCCAGTGTGTGTCACTCCTCGTGTGTCACTCCCAGTGTGTGTCACTCCCTGTGTGTGTCACTCCACGTGTGTGTCACTCCACGTGTGTGTCACTCCTCGTGTGTGTCACTCCTCGTGTGTCACTCCCAGTGTGTGTCACTCCACGTGTGTGTCACTCCCTGTGTGTGTCACTCCACGTGTGTGTCACTCCTCGTGTGTGTCACTCCTCGTGTGTCACTCCTCGTGTGTGTCACTCCTCGTGTGTGTCACTCCTCGTGTGTGTCACTCCTCGTGTGTCACTCCCAGTGTGTGTCACTCCTCGTGTGTGTCACTCCTCGTGTGTCACTCCTCGTGTGTGTCACTCCTCGTGTGTGTCACTCCACGTGTGTGTCACTCCACGTGTGTGTCACTCCCAGTGTGTGTCACTCCACGTGTGTGTCACTCCACGTGTGTGTCACTCCCTGTGTGTGTCACTCCACGTGTGTGTCACTCCTCGTGTGTGTCACTCCTCGTGTGTCACTCCCAGTGTGTGTCACTCCTCGTGTGTGTCACTCCTCGTGTGTGTCACTCCTCGTGTGTCACTTTTAGTGTGTGTCACTCCTCGTGTGTGTCACTCCTCGTGTGTCACTCCTCGTGTGTGTCACTCCTCGTGTGTGTCACTCCTAGTGTGTGTCACTCCACGTGTGTGTCACTCCACGTGTGTGTCACTCCCAGTGTGTGTCACTCCCAGTGTGTGTCACTCCACGTGTGTGTCACTGCACGTGTGTGTCACTCCCAGTGTGTCACTCCACGTGTGTGTCACTCCTCGTGTGTGTCACTCCACGTGTGTCACTCCACGTGTGTGTCACTCCACGTGTGTGTCACTCCTCGTGTGTGTCACTCCTCGTGTGTCACTCCTCGTGTGTCACTCCACGTGTGTGTCACTCCTCGTGTGTCACTCCTCGTGTGTGTCACTCCCAGTGTGTGTCACTCCTCGTGTGTGTCACTTCCAGTGTGTGTCACTCCTCGTGTGTGTCACTCCTCGTGTCTGTCACTCCTCGTGTGTGTTACTCCACGTGTGTGTCACTCCACGTGTGTGTCACTCCTCGTGTGTCACTCCACTTGTGTGTCAATCCTCGTGTGTGTCACTCCACGTCTGTGTCACTCCTCGTGTGTGTCACTCCACGTGTGTGTCACTCCACGTGTGTGTCACTCCTCGTGTGTCACTCCACGTGTGTGTCACTCCACGTGTGTGTCACTCCTCGTGTGTGTCACTCCTCGTGTGTGTCACTCCACGTGTGTGTCACTCCTCGTGTGTCACTCCTCGTGTGTGTTATTCCACGTGTGTGTCACTCCACGTGTGTGTCAATCCTCGTGTGTGTCACTCCACGTGTGTGTCACTCCTCGTGTGTGTCACTCCACGTGTGTGTCACTCCCAGTGTGTCACTCCACGTGCGTGTCACTCCTCGTGCGTGTCACTCCACGTGTGTGTCACTCCACGTGTGTGTCACTCCTCGTGTGTGTCACTCCCAGTGTGTGTCACTCCACGTGTGTCACTACTCGTGTGTGTCACTCCCAGTGTGTGTCACTCCCAGTGTGTGTCACTCCCAGTGTGTGTCACTCGTGTGTGTCACTCCCAGTGTGTGTCACTCCTCGTGTGTGTCACTCCACGTGTGTGTCACTCTCCGTGTGTGTCACTCCTCGTGTGTGTCCCTCCCAGTGTGTGTCACTCCACGTGTGTGTCACTCCCAGTGTGTGTCACTCCCAGTGTGTGTCACTCCACGTGTGTGTCACTCCTCGTGTGTCACTCCACGTGTGTGTCACTCCCCGTGTGTCACTCCCCGTGTGTGTCACTCCACGTGTGAGTCACTCCTCGTGTGTGTCACTCCACGTGTGTCACGCCACGTGTGTGTCACTCACAGTGTATGTCACTCCACGTGTGTGTCACTGCACGTGTGTGTCACTCCTCGTGTTTGTCACTCCTCGTGTGTGTCACTACCCGTGTGTGTCACTCCCAGTGTGTGTCACTCCCAGTGTGTGTCACTCCCAGTGTGTGTCACTCCTCGTGTGTGTCACTCCTCGTGTGTGCCACTCCACGTGTGTGTCACTACCCGTGTGTGTCACTCCCAGTGTGTGTCACTCCCAGTGTGTGTCACTCCTCGTGTGTGTCAATACCCGTGTGTGTCACTCCTCGTGTGTGTCACTCCTCGTGTGTGTCACTCCCAGTGTGTGTCACTCCTCGTGTGTGTCACTCCTTGTGTGTGTCACTCCCAGTGTGTGTCACTCTTCGTGTGTTTCACTCCTCGTGTGTGTCACTCCCAGTGTGTGTCACTCCCAGTGTGTGTCATTCCCAGTGTGTGTCACTCCACGTGTGTGTCACTCCACGTGTGTGTCACTCCCCGTGTGTCACTCCTCGTGTGTGTCACTCCTCGTGTGTGTCACTTCCAGTGTGTGTCACTCCACGTGTGTGTCACTCGTGTGTGTCACTCTTCGTGTGTGTCATTCCACGTGTGTGTCACTCCCAGTGTGTGTCACTCCTCGTGTGTGTCACTCATCGTGTGTGTCACTCCCAGTGTGTGTCACTCCCAGTGTGTGTCACTCCACGTGTGTGTCACTCCTCGTGTATGTCACTCCTCGTGTGTGTCACTCGTGTGTGTCACTCCTCGTGTGTGTCACTCCCTGTGTGTGTCACTCCCAGTGTGTGTCACTCCTCGTGTGTCACTCCCAGTGTGTGTCACTCCTTGTGTGTGTCACTCCACGTGTGTGTCACTCCTCGTGTGTGTCACTCCTCGTGTGTCACTCCCAGTGTGTGTCACTCCAC